GACTAAATAATTGGCTTCTTGAACACGGTCAGCAATTGTATATTTTTTTTACAAAACTTTTACTTTGTTTTTCTTGTAATTTTATCAGATCTTTGAAATATTCAAGAGGTTTTTAGACAAGTGATCATATTTTGTGGAGAAGTGTCGCAATAATTTACTGGGAACCATAGCTTCATTTGATAAAATCAAACCACACACAATACATTTTGGTCTGGGAATTAATTTATCACCACACCAGGTAAATCCCATTTTTAGGTAACTGTCTTGATATAAGCGAGTTTTTACATTATTTTTTAATGCAACATTTTTACGACAACTTACTGTTTCTGTTTCTTTTGTTTCAATAGTGCTTGTTTGTTGCTCAACGTTAAAAATAGTCAAATCTTCACTAATAGAGCTCTCAATTTTTGATGATTTACTAGTGCTAATTGATTCCTTAGCTTTGCTACCAGTAACCACTTCTTGATCATTAGAATCTTCACGTTTACTTTTTTTAATGAAAAAATTATTCATGATATTTAACGACATAATTAACTTCAATATTTTATAATAAAATTGCTGTAAAGAAGAAAAAATATTTGTATATGATGCTTTTTCGTTATTGTCTGAACATATAACAATAATAAAAACAACTACTTACTGCATTCAACGCATTTATATTGCACTTCTACTCGTTGCAGGAACAGAAGAACAGACAACTAGTAACTAGTTCATTTTGTTTCTAGTATTTACGCGTCGCCAATTACCGAGTCACTGAGACAATTTTAATTTAATTATTTAAAAATTTTGGGGCACCCTTGTGGCGTACTTGAGGCACCCTAAGGTGCCGCGGCACCCGCTTTGAGAACCACTGGTCTAATGGATAAAACTACCAAACACTAGTAGTTGATTGGGGTTCACCAGTGATTTTTCCGAATTTTCTTCATATGTCTAAAACCTAAATAGAGGCTAGTTTCCCATAGAAAGTCTTCCGGAAAGGCATCCTGGCACGAGGCGTTACAGCGTGAGTGGCTGCGACTGTGCGATTTCTGGTGGTGGATACGATTACACTTCGTTTTCAGTTAAAATAATAAATGATGGAACCGTTGTTAGGCCAAGACGCCACTAGCGTAAAAACGGGCGTAAAACCCCTCGCCGTAAAAGTTTTTAATCACGTGACCATGATATTTTATGCCTGAGCAGGTCGTAAAATCAGCGTAAAAGCGAGTTGAGCAGTGTTCAACTTTGGACGCGAATACGGCCGTAAAACAATACCAATCAGAAGTCAGTGAAATCTAGGTCATTGTGACAGGTGCGAAAATGGAGGAAAACGAGCTTTTGTGTACGTTCCCTCGTGGCTACTCTAGAATAGATCTGGAAAAATTTATCGAAAACATCCGAAAGTATTCGTGTATCTACGACAAGAAGTATCCTGATTATAATAATGGATGCCTAAAACACGCGATATGGACGGCCAAAGGAAACTTCTTCAATTTAGAGGAGTATATAATGAAAAAAGCTAAGCTTATAAGAGCTGTTATTATCTTAATTAATAAGATAATAAAAGTTAATATATGAAAGTAAAGATATTATTTTTACTACATTTGTAATTATAGTACAGAAAAAAACTCGTAGAATATAATCATTGTCTTTATAACTTCGATAGTACTGTCGCCGTAAAACTTCGCTAGCTGGACCTCCACCGCAATNTAAAAGTTAATATATGAAAGTAAAGATATTATTTTTACTACATTTGTAATTATAGTACAGAAAAAAACTCGTAGAATATAATCATTGTCTTTATAACTTCGATAGTACTGTCGCCGTAAAACTTCGCTAGCTGGACCTCCACCGCAATTCAGACGCAACGCAAATAGGTCATGTAATTAAAAGTTTTTACCCTAGTGGAGTCTTGGCCTTAGACGTTTGTGATTTATGCGATAGAAAGTTCACCAAAAGAAAAAATCTGTATTCTCATAAAAGAAATATTCATGGTATAAATGTTGATATGTTCAAGGTTCAAGCGACAAGTTGCTTGAGTATAAAAACGGTAATTTCTTAAAAATAGTTGAGTTGCTATCGCAATTTGATCCCATTATGGAAGAGCATGTCAGTAGAGTGCTAAATAAAGAAGAGACTAAAGCTCACTCTCTCGGGAAAAATATACAAAACGAGATAATAGATCTGCTGCATCAAAGTGTAAAGTCTCATATTATTGATGAAATAAAAAAATCAAAATATTTTTCCATAATTTTAGACTGTACTCCTGTCATTAGTAAGTTAGAGCAAATGACTCTTGTAATCAGATATGTTTCAATCAATAAATTTGACGCTGATGTTGAAATTAAAAATAATGAAAACTTTTTAGGCTTCTTACCAGTCGAAAGATCCACAGGAAAACAAATGTCTGATTTTTTTTTAACTCTCCGCCCTGTGGGCACTAAGAGGGCCTCTTTTTGCAAGCCCATTATGGGTTCGGCCAGGCCCACAATGGGGCTACCGGGTGGTGAGGCACGGGGCCCGACATATCCGAACGGACCACCCTCCGGTGGACCACGAGCCCGGGTCCCCCGGGCTCGACCCATTCGGATTTGAGCTCGGGTCCCCCAGAGCGGTAGGCTGCCACCTTGACCGTTCGACCATCCGGCCGCTGATGTCTGATATTATAATTGGTGAACTTAATGACTCGGGTTTAAATTTGCAGGATATCAGAGGGCAGGGATACGACAACGGGTCCAATGTGAGGGGCGATAAAGCAGGAGTGCAATCTAGAATTAAACAATATAATTCGCGAGCATTCTATGTTCCGTGTAGTAGCCACTCTCTCAATCTTGTTGTTAATGATATGGCAAAAGCATCCTTGGAAGCCGCTAATTTCTTCAACACGGTCCAAAAAATNTGTTCGCAGAAAGTTTATTGTTCGCCTCACGTAACTGCCGAACGGAAAGTCCATTGTTTGCAGAGTCCGTTATTCGAGGCGTACGTTGTACGAGGCACCACTGTATTTAATTTTGTTATTTTTGCTCCAAGCAATTAATGAATAATTTTGTCGATTGGTATCGTTTACAACATTTATCAAAGGAACGATATCCATTTTTATCTAAACTTTTTCACCAACAAAATTACTACTCGAATTAAAAACCCTCTGAACCTGTTGTCGAGTGAGTCTAGAAAGTGTCAAATAACTTGTTTCTAATCGCTGTCTACATTGTGGCAAGCGAGAAACGCCGTCTATGCAATGAAATTTTTCTGAACCGCGGTCTATCCTATCTGTAAACCGCCATCGGCCTCTAAACGTTGTCCCTGCAATCGGCTGTTCAAGTTTCGATGCCAAGTAAATCTGCTGAAAAAACCTCATATGTTGTTATGTTTTCCATAGACGCACAGATCTGCCTTTACTGTACAGTACCAGGACAGGACCACACTGTACAGTACCACAAGCAGAAATTCTGGCAATTACAAAGGCAATAACCTACGTGAATGAAGAATGGTTTCATCGACAGCGTGACATCTGTATTTACACTGACAGCCTTATCGCCCTCTACTCCATTTACACCCCTTTTAAGCGTGGTGAGANGATGAATGAAGCAG